TTTTTTGATTATTCGTTTTGCACTTGTTCTGTACGTGTGCATTCTTTGAGTCCTTGAACACGTCTCTTTTTGCACTTGTTTTTTGTACTATGCGACAGCTATAGTAAAAGGCTGAGGTAGTTGGTTTCGGGAAGGGGGCGTTGCCAAGTTGCACTGTCTGAGTGAAAACCGGGGGGGGGGGCAGGGCGGGCTAACTCAGCCGAAAGTCAAGTTACAGGACATCAGCATGGCCAGAGTCAAGGCATGAGTCGGCATGAGTGCATGAGGGTCAGCATGTGTGCTTCGAAGAATCCGCCGCTGCTGAACGCATCATGCCCAAAAGTGACAAAAGTGGCCCAAGTGAGTAGGTCCAAAGTCCAAAGCGTCCAAAGCGACATGTTCGATTTTGATCTTCAAGATCTCGCAAACCTTGCCGTGGAACACGCGCCGCATGTAGTTCCGCGCCCTGCACGCTTGCCACAGCGGCAACAGCGAGTTGCCCAGCAAAGAGCTGCAGGCCCGCAGCAAGCTGGCCGGGGAGGAAGAGGAGGCCTTGGGCCAGGTCGAAACGGTGGCCTTTGGCCAGGTCGAAACGGTAGAGGCAGAGGCTGCAGAGGAGTCGGGCTAGCAAGAAGACGGAGTACCTTAAAGAGGTCCAAAAGCATGAAGGAGACGCATAAGACCCACAGACAACGGCAAAGCCGTTTGCAAGCATCGCATGCAAATTCTTCTGGAAGGAGCCGGACGGCAGATCACCTGATGCCGATGGAATCATCAGAGAAGAGAGCCAAGGTGTCTGGGCAAGGGGCTTGGAAAGTATGGACGCCGGAGGCGTTGCTCCGAGCAGCATTTGCTCAAACATCATCGGCGTTGCGCCAGGTCGCCAGCGAGATAGATGGAGCCAGTGCAGCTCATGTTTTGCACGCGCGTAGTTTTGTGTCTGGCGTGCTTTTGAAGAAGCAAGAGGAAGGCCTCGTGCAAGAGCTAGGCAAAGCAAGGCATTCTGCCCTGTCAGAGCCGAGCGACCCACCTAAGCTTTGGATCTTAAATCTGATGTTTGACGAAACAGAGCTGGATCTGAAGTTGAAAGATGAAGGGCCTGGCGCCTGGTCAATTCTAGCTTCCCATTCTCAATTGAGCGTTGGTTCGGCAGGAAATATGGTGGAACATGACTTCATTCGAGTGCCTCAGGCCCTGCCCCGCAAAACAACTTCCTGCATGTGGGCAGCATTGAACCTTGGAGCAGGGGGCCTTGGGCCAAGTAACATTTGCTCCTTTGCCGATTTTCCATGTGTGTTGGTGACATGCGACCAAGCCTCAGCAAACATCAAGTTGTTGAAGCACTTGCATTCGGTTTTGCCTGAGCAGTGTTTCTTTCTCCCTATGTTGTGTGCGCAACATAGAAACGGCAACGTGGTTGAGCGACTCACAAAGCTTTTCGGCATTTTGCCAGGTTCCTACTGCGTGGCAAAGTGCACCAGTAAAGGCAAAGTGTTCAAGGATCTGAGGGAAGCTGTCAAGGAACAGATTGACAAGGATTTGGTCGTCATGTCAGAGGAGCCTCCCGGCCTGCAGGCCGAATGGTCCAGCGCACGCAAGCAAGCAACGACATTCTTGGAACTTATGTTGCAAGGATTGGCCGACGACAAACCTGAAGAACGTTCCGGAGTTTCGCAGCGGATCCAGAAGTTCGTGGACTTTTTCCGCGGCCCCTGGACAGGACCGAGTGCTAGGTTGAGTTATTCGGCAAATTAGGCAGGGTTTTTAACCGGGTTTTTGATTTCGGAATCGGTGTAGTAAGAGGAAAACGTCTGAGTCATAGCAGCCGTAGCATGCCCTGCAGTTTCAAAGTAGACAAGCTAAGCGGCTAAGCGTACGACGAGTTCTTGAAGACCTTCTTGACGTTTGCTGCATGTGTGCGCCGCCTGTGGCATGTGGTTCAAGATCGTGACGTTCAACTGACGCAGTGTGTTTGTGTGTGCGTGTGTTTTTCTGAGCGTCCCCGACTGCCATGGCGGGTGTTTTCGAGATGACCGACTCTCAGCTCCATGCATATTTGCGGACCGAAGGCTTGCAGGCTGCTTTTGAGCCAATGGACGCAAGAGCAAGCGCTCTAGTCGGCCTTTGGCCAGGTCCTGATATGTCTGCTGAGCAAGTGCGCCAGCACGTCGCCCTCATCACGGAGCACCTCACATGTGATACATACGGCGGCGTGGAGGCGATCAAGTGGGCACGGAATTGCTACAATCAGAGGATCGGTGTGCCCCAAAACAACCCTATAGCCTAGTACTATACTATTACTATTACTAATGACTTACGATAGGAAAAAGTCCAAAATAAATTATGGTACTTTTAATTTTTACTTGCTGGAAGCAGTAGGCAGTTTGGCAGGTTGGTTTAGTCTAAGCCGTGGCCAGGAATCTTGTTATTTTCTTCACTCTGGACTCTGAACTCTTAATTACGTTTAGCCCGTTTAGCTTGCATATTTGGGCCCTGTGTAGGCACCCAGCGCATGTCATGCTGGACCTGTCCAAGGAGTTCGGTTCCAGACTGTGGCTAGGCGGATCGATAGCAGGCACCGATACCAACTTGATGATTCACAATCACATTGGTGCGGTCTGGCCTGCGGCCAAGTCTGTCCAGCCGAATGACACCGCGGCGATCCGTGTCTTGAGGTACACAGATGGGACTGGTGTTGTGCACGGCAGCCCGGACTTGGTATCCGTACTGGAGACGGTCGACAATGTGATCACCATGCTGTACAATGGCGTGTCGGTCCTCATTTGCTGCGTCAATGGGGCGCACCGTTCTGCAACTTTGTGCTCGGTTCTGCTGATGCGCCTTCTAGGCTGGTCAGCAAAAGAAGTTGCGAACCTCGGCCTTTCAGCATAGTGACTGCATGTGCTTTTTGTTTTGTTTGGCCATAAAGNNATAATAAGGTCCTTAAGGTCACTTAAATTTGCCTCAATAGGAACTATGTGTCCACATTGCGCAATATCGTGGACCTGAGCAGCAGAGCCCCGCCTACGGCCCATCGGGTGAATACGATTCGCCCCATCGATTTTCTGATCGAAAATCAAGAGCAGATCTGCCACGGCGGCCAAGTCGAGGGGGCCTCAGGCCTGGTCAAGGTCGGCAGCAAAGGCGAGATCATCCCGAGCACTCGCTATGCCAACGCCTTGATCACTCCAATCCAGCTGCGACGACGATGCTTCGACCTTGGTTTCGTGTCAAAAACCAAGATGCCGATGTTGCCGCCAGTCCCGCCATTGGCAAAGCGCAGCTGCACCGCCACCGCATTGAGAAGCAAGGCTCGGCCCGTGAAGCCCAGGGTCGATGTCAAGAGCACTCGTCGCCAGAGCGGCACTGACACGGATTCTTCGTATATCAACGTTCCGACAGATGGTTCCTTAGAGGTGAAAATTAGCAAGAAAGAATGCTTCTAGTAAGCTTCAGCTTCGGCGTCTTACAAGAGTGACAATAGTGACTTCAATAGTGCATCTGGTCTTAAATAGATTTGTTAGATATAAACTCGTGGACAACTGAGGTTTCACGACAGACGACTCGATGCCGCAGCCCAAGCGCATCAGCGAGGATTCGTCGGCCTCTGGCCAGGTCAGTGCCGATGCCGATGCCGATGCCGATGATGATGTGCAGCCAATCTCAGACGAATCCATGGTGTCCGAGGAGGGTGAAGCCACAGCCACAGACTTTGAGATAGTGGAGGCCGATTTCAATCCAGAGTCGCCTCCGGTGACGCCTCGTGCAAACTGGACTAGCGACGACTTTGAGCGCCTGGAGACAGTGATGCGCGATCTGGGGGACCTGAACCGCCAGCTTCTCTCTTTCAACAGCGAGAAAGTCGAGGAGGATCGTCAGAGTCAGGTCTCGGCCTCCGGCCTGGTCGCTTCGGCTTCGGAGCAAGGACCTGCTGAAGCGGATCACGAGGAAGCAGATGCGGCACCGGGAGGTTTCTCGGTGTCTGTGTTTTTTGACGTTTTTGAGTGTTTTTGTATTTACGAAAGGGAGGGTGAGGATGAACGATAGTGACGATAGTTCTTCATGAGTCATGAGTAGTCATTTGAAACAGTATCGTGTAGTGTCGGCTATGTGAATCGTTATGAACAATTTACTGACACACTGATACTGATGATGGTTGAGCTATCAAAGGCAGCCCCTCAGCCCATTCCCAAGTTTGTTTGAAGACTTTAAGCCGATTCAAGGCCCCAGCGGAGACACCATGCCAGAGGACCCGGATCAGGCCTTTGGCCAGGTTGCGGCAGAGGAGGATCCGCCGGTTGATGATGAGGCCTCCTCGGAGGCGTCCCCTCAGAGCTTGGAGCCGAAAGAAATCCAGAAAACGATGGACGCTCTGAAAGCGCAGGGCGATGGGGAGATGCTCGCACGCATAATGGGACTTCTCGAATCTCAAAAAGTCCAACAACAAGCGATGCTGAGCAGGATGCAAAGTCGACAAGAACGAGAAGACCGCAAGTCGACGGTTTTGACGTCGCTGTATAACCGCGACATGACCAGGCTTCGAGCCGAGTTGCAGGCGCTCAGCGTCTCGGAGCTGGTCACGATCCGTGACGAGGAGGGGCTGACAGTCGCACATCATGCTGTGCGTTTGGGCCTTGGGCCGTGTCTGGAGTTCACTTTGAGGAAAGCTCCGACTCTTGCGGACGCGGTCACGAACCCTTCAGGTCGGCCAGCGAACTGGACGCCGATGATGGTGTTGGTCGATGCACCACCAGGATCTCTGGGAGGCTCCGACTACGCGTACGACATGTTGAAGGTCTTGGTCAGTCACATGAGTGTCACCGGTCTCCTGAATCTCGTTCCTTTGAAATATGTTCTGTTTTTGTCTTTGTGTTTGTAAATATTGTGGTGTGCGCTGCTTTAGGCTTATAAGGACTGACGAAGTGTACGTAAGCATGCTTGTGATTTTCGAGGGTGCAATTATGACTCAATCATGTGTTGGCCTTGGGCCTGGTCTTGCCTGGTGATCTTGGGCTATTGGTGCTAAGGACCAGGTCTTCAACAGGTGCGACGGTGTTCCACATTTCAGCCTCTCGTGGGAACGCTCGAGCGCTCAAGAAGCTTTTGTGGTCCCTGTACCACAAATCTGGTGGCGACAATCGCTCGGACTACGCCTTCAACGTGGTGACATCAGTCGTCAACAGTCCCGGCTTGAAACGCGGGCAAGGGGTGGTCGATGCCGCCCTCGCCAACAATATCCAATTGGCGATGTACTTGAAGCACAATTGGGGTGGGGTCGAGCTCTTGAGCGCCCCAAGCCGAGGCTATGCTCCATAGAAAGTTGGCCTCAGGCCAGGTCAGAGCTGTCGCAGCCAGGAGGAACCGCCAGTGAGTAGTTGTGAATAGTAGCACTCAGATGTCTTGTTGGGTCGGTTTCGTTTATGTTGCTGGCCGACAGTCTCTGACCTGAGCAGTACACCCGATTCCAGGGTTTTTGAGTGGTAATTTGCGACGCAGGCTGGACTGGTGCCGTGACAGCATCAAACATGTCAAACATCATCGGCCCGGCCTTGGGCCACGTCCAGTTTTTTGCTCAATAAGAAGTTGGTTTCACTGGTTGTACAAAGGACGACTGCATTGCATCGGCCTTTGGCCCAGTCCAGTCAGCTGTCGCTCGAGTCGATTTCACAAACGACGACTGCAGTCCTTTCGTGCGTGATTTCGCTTGCTGTTGCGGCATGAAAAGATCACGTTGATTTTTCTGCAAGAAGAACATTGGGCTTGCGGCTTTTGAAGCGGCTTTTGCATGTGTTCCAGGCAGAGTAGTTCAGCTTGTCTGTCAAGCAGTCAAGCAAATACACAACAGTGAGCAGGATGAAGGCTTCTGAAGGATTGACCCTTGCAGTCCAGTTTCCATACCGTACCATACCCCAGGCACCACCCTGTTTGATGTTGATATTGTTTGATATTCTCCTTGGGCTGTTGTCACGTTATTTTTTTTCTGATCCTAGTCGCTCTGTTACAATTATGAATTCAATTATGTGTCTATATTAGTATATATATATATAATATGTGTGTTATTATTTGTGTTTCGCCTGCGTCGCTCTACGAGTACTATGGTGAAGCATTTTAAAACATGGTCTACTGTCTACAGGTCTACAGGACTCTGGGGTGTGTTGCCTGGTCGCAGTCTAGGATTTTGATACATTACAAGTTTAGCAGAATTAATTGCCGCAGGTCCTGTGCTGTCACTAGCAAGAAATGAATTAGCAACTGTCAAACCCGAAGTTCCAAGAGCTAAGTAGTAGAAGCTTAAAGATTAAGTCCTGAAACAGGAAGCCAAGCCCAAGTCTGAAGCCAATGGTCGAAGCCGCAAAATCGAGACCCCGACATGAGTCACGGAACAACCTAGCTTGCAACTCGGAAGCCGGGGCTCAGACCCAAAGCTGAAACCGAAACCCAACACATTCCTGACAGCCGACCCCACAACATCCAAAGTTGAGCCAAGACTTCATTTGAATCGATTGCACGCAGGACCGCCAATTCATGTATGTGGAGGAGCTGATTGTTGCAAAGATCGAGCCGACTCTGTTTGCAAAGCCTTCGGCTTGGTAGAAGAGCTTTTGCTCAAACCCGTCTTGGTGCCGGCCTTGAACAAATGGACCAAGGTCGCCCCGTGCATTCGGCACATTTCTGTGATGCAGAATTTTTGCAACCTCGTCCCCCAAGCCTTTGAGGCAAGTTTTGGCACATCAAAAATGGTGCCTGAGGCGCCAGACGAAGCAGAAGAAGAAGGCGCAGATGTTGGGGCCCCACTCAACGAAACAAAGCTGTGGGCCCGATTGGCCAAGCTACGTTTGGTGAAGGCTGGGGTCTTCCTACAGGATAAGTCTTTCCATTGGTCGACCGTCGTATGGACCGTGTTGACTGCTCCAGTCATGAATATCCATTACGCATTATTCAAGCACGCCACATGGTTGTCAGATCGTGATGTGGAGGGACCGGAAGCGGTGGAAGGGGATTTCGACCTGGATGTGTCTTTGACAGCTTCGTGTTTTTGCAAGGCAGCTGAAAATCCGGCCAAGAAGGCGATGGTGTGCCTCTCAAAGATGCTTCGTGATGTCAGCAGCAACGAGTGGGGTCCCGCCGTGCTGGCCTTTGGCCCGGTTCTGTCGTGGCCTCAGGCCAGGTTGCGCTTGCTTCGGCGGGGATTTTTCACTGTGGTGGGTCAGCTCTGGAGGAAACTTCTATTTCCTTGGACACAGTATCCATGGAAGCTAGCATGTCTCATCGACGGAGAAATGAGCCCTTTGGAGAAGCAGCGTTGTGCTGAGGATTTGTTTGCTCAGCCTTTGTGTTGTTTGGATGGATTTGCCAGGAAGCTTCGAGAGACGCAAAAGTCTCCGGACAAATTGCTGGAGCCTGATGTGCTGGAGTTTCTGCAAGCGGTGTTTGAACGGATCGTTCCCACTTCGACATATATTGAGCGCTTGTTTGCAAGACTCACAGAATGGAGTGGATCATCGAATCAGAAAGGGCCGAAGAGAAGACTGTCAGCTGTTGCAGCCAAGCACTGCGTGCACACATATGAGCACCTTGTCAAAAGGTGGAGGAAAAGGACTCTGAAGCAAAAGCCCACACTTCGCCACAAGCGGAGGCCTGACTGGATGCAGGGCAGGCTGAAGGGCAAGGCGCGAAATGGTTGGCATGCCTTTAGTCAGGATTGCTTCCGTCAGCATCCTGAACTTTTGCGATTGTCTCGCGAGGACCGGCAAGCAAGACTGTCTGCTGAGTGGGCCCAAGCCGACAAAAGGCGCTGGGCCGCTGTCGCACGCTCTCAGAACCTCCAGTCCAGGAATGCAATGGATTCCAGCGAGGCAGCAGTTGCAGAGCATGCCGAAATTGTTGGAGGTCCTTGGAATGTTGCTGCCGCAGATGGGTTCCCTCTAGCGCGGCACAGTGTCGTTGCTCAGTGCAACAAGACCCAAACACTCGCAAATGAATTCCATGAGAAGCATAATATCTTGCAGCCGGAAGAGGCCGACAGCTTGTTGGGAGCCCCGCCTGAACCGTGGTCTCTGTTTCCCACATGCACAATCAATGGCTGTGAGCATTCAATGCCAGAAGAGCAGCAAGAATCCATGCAGCGTTTGCGTACACTGTTTTGGCGTGCCGTGCTGCAAAAAGCCCCCGCCTCCAAATCCACAGGGAAAGAGCCCTTGCTATTGTCTTTCCAGTCTGCCAGGCGAGATGCCACTTTAAGCTTGGTTGTTGCTTTTCACACTCTCCGTGCCCCGCTTCAGGCGGCAGTGCTTCTTCTCCATCCCGTAGAAATGCCTGATCTTGCAGAACAGGGTGTTGTTGTGAGCCTGGATTGTTTTTCGCAAAGTGGTCGCAGAGAGCTTCAGCTCGAAAGCGACAGTGTGGCTTTGGCAAGGCTTGCGCGCCAGGCCTCGGATTGGAAATTGAACGTGCTAGATGTGGGGCCCGTGCGTCAGATCAACAGGTTCGACATCACAGCGTCCCATCCCTTTGATGACAAAGATGGTGTTGATGGGGCGGGCTTGCCAGTCCTTGTCGATCCTGACACTGAGGCTGCCCTTGCTGCCTTCGATGAATTGAACCCATCTTCCAAAAAAAGCCTCTCCAAGCGGCGTTTTGCGGCCTTTGGCCAGGTTGGGCACGCAGAGCCCTCAGGTGCAAAGAAACCAAAGAAAGAGACAGAGTCGAAAAAGCGAAAGTCCAAAGAGGAGAAAAAAAAGCCGAACAAATAAAGGCAGAAAAAATGCTGCAAGGTTTGATGCCTATGCCTTCGGACTCTGAATCCGATGCCGACACCGATGCTGATGCAAACAAAGATGAAACAAAAATCAATGCAGAATCCGAAGCTCAAGACCTCGAGCCTTCGAGTTTCCTGGTTCCAGAGGAGGAACTGGCACAATACGAGCAGCCAGCTTCCAGTAGCTCAGTTGTGCCCCCGGCGCAGACACGTTCGTTGATGAAGCGGGGGGAGCCTTGGGGCATATTTACCATTTCACCAATCTACCGTGATGGGGTTCATGTTGCTTGGGAGGCACTGTGTCGCTGCCACAACAATGCGGGGGATAAGCTTGGTTCGACCTGCAAAAAGTCTGTTGCCAGCACGAGCCTCACAGACGCTGAAGCAAAACTCCGACTGAAACGTTGGCTGGTTGCAGGTCTGGACGACAAGGAGTGGCCTGAGAACAACAAGCGCAACTGCCACCTGTCGATGGGCGGGCCGTTGCTCGGACACTTTGCCAACGGTTTGTCTGAAGCTGAGCTCGATGTCAAGGCAGGAAGGGGCCGGTGATTTCCGAAGGTGTCGCTGTATACTGCTACAAAAGCTTGACCGCAGCCCGTAAACCGTAGACCTCTTTTGCCCGAGTTATCGGGCAAATTGCTTCTGGTTTTGGCTCCAGTGGCCTCAGGCCAGGTCTCAGTGCACAAGCGAGAACCCGGACCGCTTGTAATCCAAAGACGGCTTCCAGGACCAGCTCTTTGAGGCGCGACAGCCGTAGCTTCTGTGGCCTCAGGCCAGGTCTGAGTGCAAAAACGAGAACCCAGAGACCGCTTCCGCCCGCTTAAAAACCATGGCCGCCTTCCAGCAAGAGCTCCTGTGGCCTCAGGCCAGGTTTGGGCTTGGGTGCAAAAGGCGATGGTCGAGAAAAAGCGAAAACCCCGATCGTTGCTGACAGGATGGCAGAGCCGATTTTTTTGTCTTCCAGCACGACAGCATGACATCGGCAAAGCCCGCAAAGCTGAGAGAAAGGAGCACGGGCAAGCAGAGGCTGGCTACCAGGAGGCACTTTGCTGCCTGCTGCATCCATTGCAGGCGCGAACGGTTTCAAAGAAAAGGACAAACAGTTTGTTTGTGATATTTTCTGTGCTGCAGCCGAACACCCCCAAGGTGCAACTGGGACCCAGGAGGCGAAGGTCAAGCAGCAGATCCGTGGTCGCTTGCATAGCATTCATGGCGTTGTTCGGGTTAAGTGATTATATAAACACCCGCAGTTGCAGCAGAGACGTCATGAACAGGACATCGTACAAGCCTTTTGAATCAGTACGTTCATGCAGTGTATCTAAGCATTTGTGTTTGCCCGATATATAAGCAAGGACGCAGATTGCAATGCCACGTGGTCCATCATCGGTAGGCAGGGCGTGTTCGACTTCTTTGCATCAGAGGATGTCGGGCTCTTTGAGCAGGTCCAAGACCACAGCTTTTGACCGAAGGCTCTTGCGAGAAGAGGCTTTGCATACTGCTTTGCAGGCGCAGTCGTGAGCCAAAGATGCTGTTGCCTTCAAGGGGCCCGGGGCAAGCAAGACGACTACAACCACTGCGGTGACCGCAGTGGTTGTAGGCTTCTGGCTTGCCTCGGGCCAAGGGGCAAG